CAGGAAGGGTAGCCTGAGCTGAAGTCAGCCTAGGCCGCACCCATCCTGCACGAAACACAAGGAGAGCACAGTGCTCGAAAGCCCTGCGCAAACAGGCGGTCTGGGGCGAGGAAAAGGATCAGAAAGAGTATGGAAGGGGGCTAGTGCCCCAGGAACTTATATGGATAAGAGACTGTAGGATAGCTAACGGCCTCAAGTCCACGGATAATGGTCTGTCATAGCTCTAGGGCTCGGTATGGACAATAAACTTGATTAAATAATAATAATATAGGCATGTCCAAGCTTCGGAGAATCCATATCTCCTTCCTAATACGGTAATCTAAACGAACCTTACGTTGTACGCATGTGACCTCATGCTCACTCCTTACTCAAGCCTGTTCCCCTTTTCCTCTCTCTCCTGTCTCTTCTATTCTTTAGACAGAACAACAGTGACCCCAACAAGCAAAATGCTCGCCCTCGAACCCGTCACAGAAGCTGACCTCCCCGCAATCACAGACCTGTGGTACTCCGCCTTCGGCCCCTCAGGATTCCTCGAACTCATCCCGGACACCCCTAACAACCGCGACTGGTGGAACTCAGCCAACGGGCACGACCTTCACCACAAACCCACCGCCTATTACTGGAAAGTTGTCGACACCGCGCAACCCTCGAAACCGCTCATCGCATACGCGAAATGGGATCTGGAGAGCGCCGAGGAGCGCGGGGATCGGTTCCCGCCGTGGCATGCGGATATGAATAAGAAGGGGTGTGATGATTTGTTTGGGAAGTTGGAGAAGCAAAGGAGTTTGTTGTTGGGTGGGACGAAGAATTATTGTATGCCCCCTAATGCTTTGGAAGTGGAGTTGGATGGATGCTTACTAAGTAGATTTGGATATGCTCTGCACGCACCCTGATTACCGTGGTCGAGGCGCTGGAAAGATGCTTGTGGCTTGGGGTTGTGAACAGGCGGATAAGGACCGCGTCTCTGCGTATGTGGATGCGAGTCGTGATGGGCGCCCGTTGTATGCGCGGTATGGGTTTGAAGATCGGACTATTGATGAGCACAAGGCCGAGGGGATCACTTCTATGGTGAGGGAGCCAAGGTCGTGATATCCATCGGCATGGTCTCGGACATGGGCGTCTATTTCTGGGTAGACATGACCATGAAGTCAGATGCATTGGGATGATAAATAGCATATTTATGGAGCAATGTGATAATGCGAGCATTCAATGAAGACCGCTAGGGTGCGTTAGCGTGTGTATAGCTACTAACCGGAATACAATCCGAGATGAGAAAGGAAGACTCGGCCGAGGACCAAAGTACTTGTCCGGAGTACCTAAAGATACTCCTTTTAGACCTCGCAAGAATGAACGAATGCAACAGCAACACAACAACACAATAACACAACGCATCAACTTAACCGCCGCCAAGGTGTGATAGCACTAGGATATACTCCATATTCCCACCGCCAAGAGACTGTGATAACAAGGATAGAAACCAGGGAGTACGCCCAGGCAAGGACTGGCGGTATTGGTAACTCCGACGCCGTCTGCTAGGATCAGAAACGGTGCCTATCGGGAATCCGCGCGGATCCAATAGCAATCGGCGTTTAGAAATAACGCGCGACGGTGTGCATGGGGCTAACAATAGTAGAAGCAGGGAACTTTGTATGTGCGTTCCACCCGTGTAGGACGGAATGCCACTATGCTAGGATACGTATTTTTGTACGGAGGACGGCCGTTACACCAATGGACTATCGTTATCGTCCGAGCTCCAAATTGGCGAGCGGAGAAAATCAGAATATGAAAAGGGAGGCAATCAAGTCCACCGAAATTATCCATCGCATCGTTGGTTTCCGAGGTCCGGGCGTATCCAGAGTACACCGCGCACTACTGGATACATAGTATAGTACTGAATGCCGTCGTGGGTAGAAATCCCTTCATAACGGCGAAACTGCGTCAGCCTCAGATCGCACATCATTATTCCATCCCGTTCCAGAAAGAGTGAGCGTAGCAGTACCAGGACGGAGCACGTATTGCCACACGGCACTCGCAACAATGGTGATACGTACCGGCACTTGCCAAGACACACGGAGCAAACAATCAATGCGAAAAGCCCGCGGACGATCTGTCGCAAGGTCCGTTTAACCTGCTAGCATCAGCACGATTAGTCCGTGGTACGCTCGACCAAAAGGCGTGGCTCTAATTACCAAGCAACCACGGCCTCGACCCGATGCCGAGTGTCTATTTGGCGGGCTTATTCAATCAATGCCAAGCCCAGTTCCACCATCTAAGCAAAGTAGTATTCTGATGCGACGGGAGGACGTGGGAGTCCAGCTTGTGCTTAATGGACAAATCGCAGTTGGATTCAGGCAAGACATTGTCCCGTATTGATAATGCATCGTGCCTGGCCCGTTTGCCCTCCGTGATGATGGTCCTGCCATGCAAACAAATTAGGGTGCTGCCCACTTAACTGACTAGTAGTTTAGGCCCGGCTCAATCCAACCAGCATGCTGTATTAATCAACCAAGAAAAGATGATTGCATGTCTCCACTTACCCGGTGGTGACCACACCAGAGTACAGAGTAAAATGGGGGCGTTCGTTCTTAAGCCGTAAGGAAATGCTCGCTTTCTAGGCCCTTCTGCTCGAATAATCAGCACAACCAGCATGATCAATCTAGCTCGGCCGACTGTTCGATCTCGATAATCCGTATTGCATGGTCCCGTAATGCATTCCGCATGGTTGGTCAATGGGCCCGGTCTGGTTTGCTCGTGTGCCTGGTCTTTGCTTTTTTTGTTTTCCCTCTCTCCACGGCATGGCTGCATATAACACTCCTCCTCTCCCCCTGGTCGATCGACCTGTATAAATCGTCCGTGGAATCCCACTTCCTCGCGTAAACGAAATCCAGGAAAGGAAAGAGGATCTCTTGGCTCTTTGGGAAGAAGTATTTATACTTCGGTCTTCCTTTCGTTTTGTTCCTGTTCCACAGTTCCACAACCACAGCTACACTTCGATAGCTGAACAGAATGCGCGCCTTCAGTCTCGCCGTCGTTAACGGCGCTATTGGCCTTGCCAATGCTGCTTGTCCTTACATGACCGGCGAGATCAACACCCGCGATACCCCCAGCAACGATGCCGCCGCTGCCACCGAGGAGTTTCTGTCGCAGTACTACCTCAACGACAACAACACCTATATGACGACTGATGTCGGCGGTCCCATCGAAGACCAGAACAGTCTGAGTGTTGGCGAGCGTGGTCCAACTCTGCTGGAAGACTTTATCTTCCGTCAGAAGATCCAGCGGTTTGACCATGAGCGGGTATGTCCACCCCCCCCCCTTTCGTTCCTGATAGACGGCTAATGGTGTAGGTCCCCGAACGTGCTGTCCATGCCCGTGGTACCGGTGCCCATGGTACCTTCACCTCGTACGCTAACTGGGACAACATCACCGCCGCCTCGTTCCTGGGCGGCGAGGGCAAGCAGACTCCCATGTTTGTGCGCTTCTCAACTGTCGCTGGTAGCCGGGGTAGCGCAGACCTTGCTCGTGATGTCCACGGTTTCGCAACTCGTTTCTACACCGACGAGGGCAACTTTGGTGCGTCCCCTATTCAACCCCTTCTTGCACCCCAACCATGCAAACGCTAACGTTCGAAATGCACAGACCTGGTCGGAAACAACATCCCCGTCTTCTTCATCCAAGACGCTATCCTCTTCCCCGACCTAATTCACGCCGTCAAGCCCCGCGGCGACAACGAAATCCCCCAAGCCGCCACCGCCCACGACAGCGCCTGGGACTTCTTCTCGCAGCAGCCCAGCGCGCTGCACACGCTCTTCTGGGCTATGGCCGGCCACGGCATCCCGCGTTCCTTCCGCCACGTTGACGGCTTCGGTGTGCACACGTTCCGTCTCGTTACAAACGATGGCGACACCAAGCTCGTCAAATTCCACTGGAAGTCGTTGCAGGGCCGCGCCAGTATGGTCTGGGAAGAGGCGCAGCAGGTCTCTGGCAAGAACCCGGATTTCATTCGGCAGGATCTGTTTGAGTCGATTGAGAATGGGTACTATCCTGAGTGGGAGCTTGGTGCGCAGATTATGGATGAAGATGATCAGTTGCGCTTTGGGTTTGATCTGCTTGATCCTACCAAGATCGTTCCTGAGGAGCTTGTCCCCGTCACGCCCCTGGGTAAGATGCAGCTCAACCGTAACCCGCGCAACTACTTTGCCGAGACCGAGCAGGCCATGGTAAGCTCTCCCTCCTCTCCCCTTACCCTCATCACCACTGTCCAAAAGTACTGACAAGACAGTTCCAACCCGGCCACATCGTCCGCGGCATCGACTTCACCGACGACCCCCTCCTCCAGGGCCGTCTCTTCTCCTACCTCGACACCCAACTCAACCGCCACGGCGGCCCCAACTTCGAACAACTCCCCATCAACCAGCCCCGCATCCCCATCCACAACAACAACCGCGACGGCGCAGGTCAGATGTTCATCCCCCTAAACCCCGACTCCTACACCCCCGGCCCCGACACCACCAACCCCGGCGCCCCTAAACAAGCAAACCAAACCGTCGGCAAGGGCTTCTTCACAGCTCCCAACCGGAACCCCGGCGGAACACTCCAGCGTACTGTGAGCAGCACATTCAGCGACAACTGGTCGCAGCCACGCCTCTTCTACAACTCCCTCGACCCCGTCGAGCAGCAATTCATCGTCGACGCAATGCGCTTCGAGAACTCGAACGTCAAGTCCGAAGTCGTCCGCAACAACGTCATCATCCAACTTAACCGCGTCTCCAACGATCTCGCTCGCCGCGTCGCCCGCGCTATCGGCATCGAAGAACCCTCCCCCGACCCAACCTTCTACCACAACAACAAGACAACCAACGTGGGAACCTTCGGTGGCAAGCTGCAGAAGCTCGAGGGTTTGAAGATCGGCTACCTCGCATCCGTGGACAACAAGGATTCCCTGTCTGAAGCCGCCACGCTCAGCAAGAGCCTTTCCCAGAACGGCGTTGAAGTCGTCGTCGTCGCCGAACGTCTCACCGATGGCGTCGACCAGACATACTCTGGCTCCGATGCTATCCAGTTCGATGCAGTGGTTGTTGCAAGTGGCGCAGAGAGCCTGTTCAGCCCTGCTAGCTTGACTGGCGGTGGTGCGAAGAATGCGACTGCTGGTGCTGCTTCGACGCTCTTCCCCGCTGGTCGGCCGTTGGAAATCCTAATTGATGGATTCCGCTTCGGTAAGCCTGTTGCTGCGCTTGGTAGTGCGACTACTGCGCTGCGGGGTGCTAGTATTGCTTCGAGCCGGGAGGGTGTGTATGTTGCCAAGTCTGCTGGTGACATTGTGGACCAGATTAAGGAGGGCTTGAGGACGTTCAGATTCCTTGACAGATTTGCTGTTGACAATTAAGCCGTCCCAGCTATGGTTCAGGTGGAAGATGATTGCAGGATTCCTGCTTAATATTAGCACCAACGACTTTCTTTTTGTTTGCTTCGGTTGTTGATATTGTACTGTACTATTTGCATCATGATGTACCAGAATGACCTGTATATGTATTCAATGAATCAGTAATTATTATCAGTTCAGGTCGATATGCATTTACCCAAGATTCAAGAGAACAGGAAGATAGTTATATAAACCAAACGCTTTCGTATTTGTATGCTAAACCAAAACAGGCTAGTCCATATATACATGTGAGAATCCACGAGTGTCACAGTAATGATACTATTCTACTCCATAAAAATAATCAACCCCGGCCGACTTGCCTCTGTCCCGCGAAACCCCCGCTCGACAAAGCAGCAGCATCCCTTATACTGATTTGCCTCTTGCTTTTGTCGTCGGAAGACACGGCAGCCGAGTCACGGCCATCAGCAAGGATAGCCCATTCAGCCACCGTAGCGCCAACGCCATCGTCCGCATCAGGAGCCGCTTGGTTACCAGAAATGAGCAGAGTAGCATAGTGTGCTGCCGGGATTGGTCCGGAAAGGTCAATGCTGGTGGTGTTGCTTTCGGGCAACATGATCTCATCCAGGTTGACGGTCTCAGGATCGTATGGCTTGGATTGCTCGATATTGGTCAATGCGATGACGACTTGGACATCACTGCTATCAAGAGTTGAGACCGGATCCTCGATAGTCTGATTGTGGAAGATCACCGTTGCATTGATAGGGGGCGACTGGTGCCAGTCAAAGTAGAAACCAGAGACCGCGGACCGGGCACCAAACTCAGCAAATGAGACAGTCACCGCGCTAAGGTTGGCAGAAGAAGGCTGCCACTTAGTAGAAGTGGCGCCATCAACAACAGAAATAGGGAATTGGCCTGGCTCAAATGCATCGTGTGACACAACTGGGCGACATTGAACAAGGTTGCCGGCAACGGTGTTCTTCGATCCGATCTTCCGGTTGGGAACCGTCAAAGACCCTGTTAGAGGAAGTTCGTAGACTGTGCTGTTAGAAAACGACCCAACGTGGATGGGAATAGACTTGTTGGCAAAACGGGCTTCCGCTGTGTCAAGAACAGCAGCATTCGAAGCGCGGCTGAGAGTTGTGTGGGTGTAGTTGGAACTTGCCGAAATCGGCCATCCTCGCCAATAAAAGGTACGGTAAGTGACATGAGGAAGTTGCGGGGGCAGGTTAGGATCAATATGTATAGCGTTATCAGGACGCATTCGCAGACCCAGGTATCCAGACAGAACGACCTGATTTGCACCACCATGTCCGGTGAGGAAGGGATAGGCCGGATGAGTACCACCATTAATGCTAGCATCGTCGATCAGCTGCTCAGAGAGCTGATAGAAAGGAGCCCGAACGTATGGCTCATAGGAATACTGTCCATAAGTGTATCCAGCGCAACCGGAGGGCGAAACTTCATTGGCGACAACCGAGAATATAGCCCATGTCATGGCAGGGCCATCGGGCGATTGCTTGTTGGCATAGTAGTCCAAGTCATTCAACGCATTTTCAGCGGTGTAGTTGTCAGTGTAGCCCAACGGATACGTATTGAGAACCACATCAGCCTGCTTGACCACAGCACTTCCATTCATCGTGTTGAATTCAAGAGTCACCCCGTTTTGCCGGAGCAATTGAACATTATCAGCCATCTCGGTCCAGGTTTCGTTGGGCTCGATGCCAAATTGCTCGCGGAAGGAGTTGACATAATTCAATGTCTCAGCGATCAGCGGCAATGTAAAACCACCAGCATCGACCATGTTAGCATATTCATCCGGATCAGTCATGTTCCTGATGGTCCAGGACGATCCATTACGCTCTAGCAAGTTCGAATACAAAGTCGCAACAGAGTCATAAATGGGGAAATGCTCCTCACGGAAGTGCTTCGTATCACCACTCGCAACCCACTCGTACATCATGGACAGACCGATATCACCATTCAAGTGGTACTGATAGTCCCAGCATGGTCCAGTAGCCGTACAGTTACCGAACCTGCCGCTAGTCCAGGGGTAAATGGCCGCGGAAGGATCGAAGTAAGTCTGGTTCTTCGAACCGGCATATTTGGTCTTGACATTGGCCATTGCCTGAGGATACTGCTTCATACGGTAGTTTGTAACCCTCTGAGCAGCTTCGGGGTGCGAAAGGACGAGACCGGGTTGCATCCAGACATCAGCGTCCCAGAAGATCTGACCAGCGTATGAATCAGAAGTGAGACCGCCAACCGGGATACTTTCCACGTTGATAGGGGCCCCTGAAACGGCCTTGTTAGCATTTTTGCTAGCAGTGTTCTGCAGAAGATAGTATGTGTTCGTCACTGCGACGATAGCCGAGTCAATAATGTGCTGGTCAGAGGGCAAACGGCCGGTCTTGGGATCAATAAAGTGATCAACAGAGTTCTCTGGCATCACCTTGGCCCATTCGGAGACATGAGAGGCTAGCGACTTGAGATAACCATTCGACAACGCCTTCGAAGCGGCCTGCTTAGCTGTCTGATGAGGGTCCCCGAACGCATCTGTCGAGGCGGCACCGACAAACTTGGTAACGCGCAGTTTCTCATTCGCCTTGAACTGCACATCGACCGACTGAGCGATGGAAGATGCATTGGCGCTGACATACGGCTTATCCGTGACAAGTTGGCGGGACGACAAGTCCACACCAGCGGAGCCGGTGAGGTTCGTGTAGACATAGGCTGTGACATTCGAGATGCCCCAAGGACGTACAGCGGAGAAGATCGCACCGTCATCTTGGCCTGACTCCACAAAATCCGTACGCACAGCCGAGTAGCCATCAACCACGTTCACAACAGTCGCGTTGGAGTCGACAGACGGAATGACTTCCATGTCGACCACGGCCTGGTTGACATTCAACTTGTGGTTAAGCAGTCGATATGTGATATTGAACGAACCCTTGCCTTCAGGGGTCCATTTGTACGACCACGACAGAACACCAGCCTTGAAGTCGTAGGTAGAGCGGAAGTCGGTGATGGTTTCGTTGTCCACCGTGGAATCGAGATAAGTACCATCGCCCAAGTCGAGAACAAGCCCACTCCAGTGTGGGACACCACTAACAACACTGTCGCCTCCATATTGATACAACCAGGGGAAGTTGGATTCATCGAGCGATGGTTCAGAGTCAAGGAAGCCAGCGATAGTAGCGAAGCTTTGCCGTCTAGAGAACAAAGGCCAGCCATTGATCACGTCGCCACTAACTGGAACATCAAGTTCGAAGAACGGACCAACGCTGGCAACGTTGATACCAAAATACCCATTTGCGACGGAACCACGAGATTGGTAGTGACCTTGGTCCAGGACAGTGGTTGTAAGCAGCCAGTTATCTTCGTCCCAGGTCACTCCGGGGAACTTTGTTTGGTAGATGCTAGAAGCGCTGGATTCGAGGTGTCCAGTGTTCCTTTCAATAGCGCGAGTAATACGCCCACTGCTACTGGCACAATCGACAGGTGAAAGCTGCAGTAACAGAGGCAGCAAGGTAGCCAAAATCTGTCATGGTCAGTACCTTCTGAACGACCCCGTATTGAATACCAAGGTATCTCACCTTAGACTGCATTGCTGCGATGCCGCTTGGGCGAAACCGTACAAACTCCTTGCAAATATTTTCCCAGAACAAAACGTACCCCGGACGCTAAGACCCTTTATACCATGCGGGGAAAAGTCTCTGTCTTCGGGAGCCCTAAGCAACGACCCGATTCTCAGTCCTGTGCCGTAGCCGGTGACATAGCCGTCCCGACCAGCGCTCGATGCCGAAAAAGGTCCACCGTAATTTGCGAGCACGAGCGGGCATAGGGCCCTTGGCAGATGTAGCTTTGAACCGTCACTTGGCCGGGGACGTCGGAGAGTGATTCTGTGGAGTTCTGGGGAAGTTTAAGCCCCGCAATAGTGCCGATGAACGGCCGTCAGTCGAGAAAATCGCCGGAAGCGGTAAGAATAATCCTGTTGACTGGATATAGGAGTAGAACTGGATCCCAGATGATGAGATTGATTCGTCTGTCCAGTGAAGATGGCGATGGTGAGAAACTGGCGTAGTGGGAGAAGGGAAGAGGTAGTCAAGGATGGTACAAGGGAAGGTACGGGTCACATGCTCTGCGTAGTATACAGTCTACTGTAAAAGTACAATACTACCATACTTAAACTATGGGATTATTTCTGGGCTCTTGGCTTGCGTAGTCCTCTAGCTATGACATCTTATAGCTTGGCCATATAGGCAAGCTACATGCAGTGTACAGTGCCTAGTATGCACAACTTCCCCAGTCTCGAAGCGACCATTCTGTCGCATTCTATAGCGCTCTGGACGGTGTGCAGTGCGCAAATTCTGGACTTGCCTGTGGTATATAGCATCGCGGAGGAACAGCAAGAGGGACGGGTGCCAGGAACATGCTTATGAACTCGATCACCGGATAGTCACGGTGCCCAATGTCCACGCAGTCATCCCACATCCTCCTCACTACTCTCCTCATTACCATCCCCAGCAGTCAGCTGAGAGGCTCCATTACCGCTCTGCCGCTGCGTATTCGTACTCCGTCTCTTCCCCTGCAGATAGCGATCCGTCGAAGTAACCGCCCTCTCCCCAACAAACTTATCCCCCGGCCAAGCAGCCTTGCAAACGGGACATTTCTCCGCCTGCTGCATGCGAAAGAAATTCCGGATACAGAAATCGTGCAGTCGACCGGCGCAGTCGCGGTTCGCGCAGCGTTGGCCCTATCATATACCATATTAGCACCTATCCATCCACATCACAACCAATATTGGGGATAGAAACTCACCACAGTAATAATATCCCGACAGGCAGCACAGAACTTAACCTTATCTGCCCGTCTCCCATCATCCATCTCGTCATTGTACGTAGCAACCAACCACCCCCTCAACTCCATGAGTCCTCTCGGACTGAGCCCATAGAACCCCTTCCGACTCTTCTCCATCCACCCATCATCAACCAACTGCTGCATGACCGTCTCCGCTTGCGACATGGTCAGCGACTGTGCCGCCCCGCCCTGGGTCCCCATAGATTCCCTTCGGCTACCACCTGTACCAGCATCCGCAGAAGACACCCGTGCCAGCTGCATCGCCTGCATCCCCGATACAACCATCGCCTCCGAGATTCTGGTATTATGTGTCTCGAACATGGCGTCTAGCAACCGTTTGATGAAGGCGATTTCGTCGGCGGTATATGTAGTCGCGAGCTGAGTGAAGGGATCGCTGGTCGTGTTCACGAGAGCGTAGACTCGTTCCGGCAGTACGGTTGTGCCATCGCCGTCCGTCTGGATCTGACGTAGGGTGCTTCTGATTTCGAGGTCGAAGGGGGAGATGGCGGTGTTGGCGGCTGCGATGTACGAAAAGAAGTCTTCTTCGGTGATGTCGGTAGGGGAAGCGGGCTCGGCTTCTGTACTTGCTGTCAACTGTCTTGTTCGATCTTGTGTGGTTGGGGTAGGTGTACCATGTGCTGAGAAGATGGCTGCTAGAATGGGCTTCGCTTCTTCAAGGGTCATAGATGAATGGGCCATAAAGGCTTGAAGGAATGCGCGATTGCTGTCATTATAGTCTGCGACACCGATATCATTGGCCATCTTGTCTTGCTTGTATCTGCGAAAGATGAAGTTTGCGAAGACTGATTACGAGTTGATCGCGTCGATATCGCGTTCCGCGATTGACACCTGAGGCATAGAACTATTCAAGTGACCATCAGGCGCAAGTAATTTGTATGATTATTTCAATGAGCTTTTCGGCTTCATTCAACGAAGCTATGAGTAAAATATAATGCTAGCACTACTCCGTAGAGTATAGATTAAGCATCCAGCCTGACGCTGCGCCCAAGAAGTCGAATTCAAAATTCAAGCAAAACTGAATATCACCCAACGCCACACATGACAACAATAAGAAAAAGAAAAAAGCCGGTATCAAAACCCCGACAACTGGACGACACCTAAAACCTCCTTCTCGTAGGCTCCGGACTCGGGCTACGACTAGCACTCCGCGCATCCCTACCCCGTTCCTTCAACCACTTCTTCGTCGAGAGACGCATCTCGCGATCTAGCTCGGCGCTAGGATCCTTGCGGTGAATGAAATTGCAGAACCCGCCTCGTACACACCCCTCGCCGCTATTTAACCGGCAACACGCTTCGCGGAAATCTGTCACGGGCGATAACTCGCAGTATATCGGGCGCGCGGCATACCAGCGGGAATTCAACGCGTCGCAGGCTGACTGCGCGTCTTCTTCGTATTTGAATCGTGCGTAGACGTTGCCGATGAGGTCTGACCTGTTAGCACCTGTCCGGAGAACAATTGCATTCAAGAGGTGAGCGAGGACTTACGATCATTATTATTCTCACAAACAACCAACTCCTCCAACTCGCCGTACTGGCACATCTCGCACCACACGTCCTCGTAGAAAGCATCAAAGTGGTTCTGCAGCTGGCTGGCGTTCATCCTATTCTTGGGATCGAAAGCAGGATTCTGGTACATGTTGGGCATCAGGACGGTCTGCGAGTACGACGGCTTGACGTGTTTCCGCGAGCATCGGTCGCCGTGTCTGCAGGCGCCGATTTTGTAGTAGAAGGAGCAATTGACCTTGTCTTGCTCGGTGCCGAAAATGGATGCGAGGTAGTTGGCCATATTGGCTGGTGGACGGCGGCGCGGGGTTTCTGTTGGTTAAGAAGAGTGGTGTATTTGATGCGAAAAGGATGCAGCGGTAAAGAAATACTGGAATAAAAGAGAGAACGGTGGGGGATGCAAGCTCGCTGGTCGACTGAAGATTCTGGAGAGCTCGATCGCGTGGCGGCGATGCGGGTAGCTAGTTGTGCTCAGGCATAATTGCGGGATAATAATGATCCGTAGTGTAATGCATTAAATGTTATGCATATTCACAAGTCGTCTATTTCTATACAAGCTGCAGTATATACAATTAAACAGCCAACCCACTAACATCAGCCGAAGTCCTCAATCCCTGCACCATCTCAGAAACAACCTTTCCAGTGCCCAACGAAAGCGAAATCCCCCAAGGCCCATGACCAGCCGCAACATATACACCACCCTGAGCCTTTACACCACCCAGCGAATGCTCCTCCACCTTTGAAACCAGCGGCGTACCACGACTAGTAACAGGCCTGAAACATAATCCCTCCCGCACAATCTCCAAATCATCAACATTTGGCACATCGTCCGTCGACTCCACGCTTCCATCGGCCAACTTGCCCATTAACCGGACTGACACATCCTTTAATCTTGCTATTTCATTCGGGTCAAATATGTCGCGGGATCCTTCAGCGTGTGAGGGAAGGGGGATGTCCCAGCTGTTTAGTCCAGCGATGTAGATTTCGCCGCCTTTGCGGGAGAAAATTTCGGGGCAGAAGCCGCATGAGTCTGGATGGGTTGTGAAGATGGCATGGCTTTTACCGGCATGGGTTCCACGTTCGTGTTCTAGGGTGTACCTGGGAGAACGAAGGACAAGGGAGTATCCTGCTAGAGGGCCAATTGGGAGAGACACTTCAGACGAGGGGAAGATCTCTTGGAACACCTGTGGAGTCCAGGGACCGGCACTGACAATCAGATTCGTGCAAGGAATAATCGTCTCGTTTTGCGTATTGAGATCCACAACCCTGACTCCCGTGATAGTCCCTTGATCAGTCACCACAGACACAGCCCTCGCCGGGTGATGAAGCTTAACACCACGAGAAACCGCCGTGTTGATGAGATACTTGCTCAGTCTCAGCGGGTCACTAGCAACCATTAGCACAACCCGTATCCAAATAGTAAGAAAACTCACGCAACAGCAGTCGTATTATCATCACTAATCTTCTCCAATGCCGCACCTCTCTGCTTCGTCAACCACGTCGGTGCCTCTGCAATCCGCGACTCTTTAAATCCTGCAGCAGTATCTGCCCGACTCGTTCCAGCTCGTAGCCAGTCATCGCCGCGAGGACCATTCCTTGGCCCCCCAGTAGAAACGTCCATACTCAACGCGGAACCCTTCATGTAACCCCATTTCTCAGTTCCGCCGTTCTCCGCGGCCAATTCGTCGTGTAAGTCGAATGAGAGAGCAGCCAATGGAGCAAGAGATGGTGCAAACCAGTCTTTTGCTAGGAAACCAGCTGCGTAGCCAGATGCAGCGCTGAAAAGCTGTGAGGAGCACTCAACGACGTGGATTTCTTCTGCGGATTGGCCACTGGAGAGATAGTAGGCGATAGAGGAACCAATGATTCCTCCTCCGAGAATGACCGTCGACATTTTGCTATATGAGCTGTAAAACTTTTCAGGACTCTATCAACGGGATTATCGGCTTGAACTCGAGCTAATTGACAGTCTTTAAAAGGTCGCCACAGCCAACCCCATTAAACGCTTTTATTTGACATTTTGCCAGCACACCAATCGTAGACGCTCGGCTAGAGGCGAATCCACTGAATGATTCCCCACGGGATAATAGACGAGACTCTCTATTCCGGAGTAAACGAAAGTGTGGTTCCCGCAAAATGAATGTTCAGGGCCGTAGAATTTTATCGAAGCTGATCATTGGCGTTGACTAGGGGCTCGGAGCTCGAGACATTCACATATATATATATGCAATTGATTTTGGAAAGGCCGGCCGGTTTATTGCAATTGAACGGGGCTGGTGTAAATACAATTGGAATGGAATATACAATATCCATGTACTAGCGTAGAAAGAATACACAATCATCTTGGCCTAGGTTTGAATACTATAGTACTTTGATGCGAGTAGAAATTGTAAAAACCCCCACATCCCACATGCCACTCGATTACATCACCCAGCATTTCACCGGCGGCGGAGCTATCTCCAATTACTCTGTACACAACTTACCTGTCCACAGCACCGATTGACGAATTCCTCATTCTTTAATACTATCTGTTAAAAGAATCATGTTGGCCAAAACCATCATCGTCACCGGCGCCTCCCGAGGTACTTACCACCACTGTCCCCATCTCTAACCAACCTACTAACCCAAACACAGGAATCGGCCTCTCCATAACAAAATACCTTCTCAGCGCCCCCCAATCCCACAATATCGTCGTCGTTGCCCGCAGCCCCGAACCCCTCCAAGCGCTCAAAGACCAATACCCCAAGCAAGTTGAGATCCTCAACGGTGATCTAGCAGATTTCTCCCTCGCCCCGAAAGCTGTTGACCTCGCGGTGAAGAGCTTCGGGAAGTTGGATGGAATTGTGTTGAATCATGGGATGCTGGGGCAGGTTGGAAAGATTGCTGAGGCGGAGCCTGAGCAGTGGAAGTATGGGTGGGATGTGAATTTTCTGAGTTTGGTTGCTTTTGTAAGTGCCTTAGCTTATAAAAAGAGATAATGAGTGGAGGGAGGAGGTGTTGATGAGAACAGGTCAAAGCAGCTCTTCCTGCCCTTCGTGAGACGAAAGGCAAGATTATTTTCACTTCGTCTGGTGCCTCGATTACGGCTTATACGGGTTGGGGACTTTATGGTGCTTCGAAGGCCGCCATGAACCATTTGGCTCTGAGTCTGGGTGACGAGGAACCTGATGTGACTACGGTCTCTATCCGGCCTGGAATGGTCGACACGGAGATGCAGCGGGAATTGCGCGAGGACCACGCTACGAATCTGGTGCCCCATATCCATTCAAAGTTCATGGGTGTTCACAAGGAGGGCAAGCTTCTGAGGCCCGAGCAGCCGGGGCATGTTATGGCCAAGCTTGTGCTCAATGCCCCAAGTGCATTGAGCGGGAAATTCCTTTCGTAAGTCCACGCTACGGTTCTACGAGGCAAAGCTAACAAAGACAGATGGAACGACAAGGAACTCGCAGACTTTCAAGAGTAAATGATATTAAGATACCGATATTTCTAGACTCAATTATCTGTACAGAATTAGTACATAGCCATAAATGAATGAAGAAATTTCAATGGCAAAATTGAGTTTTATAATCAGCCGAAAGATGAAAAGCATATACATTTTATAAGCATTAGATGCAACGCATCTTCATACTTAGCATGGAATGTAGGGTGTTCATCACAAAACAGGGTGGGAAGAGGAGCAAAGTAACGCATACCTTTATAGCATGCTGTGTCGATGTTCGGCAGAAATTTCGGTTTCAACGGTGTTGTAACTACAGCTAGATCTTGACGGCATTAGCAATGTTGCACAAACACAAATATGAGCGTAAACAATAGTGAGATTCATCAAAATCAGTTCGTCCGTTTGGCTAGGACTGTGTACGTCACCATAGAATGGTCTGATAGGGGCGACAACAATGATCATCATGGTGATGAATAGGCAAGAACAAATAAGAGAAGGAACATACCATGACTATGTTAGCAGCGCGATGTCTCTGTGATCTTATTATCCAGCATAATGGATGTGCAAGAGAATTCTGAGAATTCTAAGTGTGCGATGAGAAACGATGAGAAAAATTCAACGCGGACGAAGAAAATATAGTAAATTTAAAGGCGGTGGTGCTGCTACTTTTCTGCCGCTTTTTCCCTGTTGTTCCGTTCCGGGCGATTTAGTCCGCGTCTTGATTGCGCCCCGCGACATCCAGTGCTTTTCTGGGATTCCATATATTATCACTGATTCTATTTGCGTGAACGATTTCATTGTGTCCGCGACAACATGTCTGACAGGGAATTTAGCTGTGAGTGCTGCTGTTAATTCTAGTGTCGTGACTGAAGCTGACATGGTTGCGATTAGCAAATGACGATTTATCGCTCCCCAAAGGTACGCATTCATCTCCCTAGCCGTTCGCAAGTAGAGACTAACCAGCACAGCGACTGTCCAGAAAATCATCACTGAAATCCTCCCCTACTCCTCCGGCCAGACCTTCTCCAAAGATGCCCGCGATCTGCTCATGGAATGCTGCGTCGAATTCATCACCCTGATCTCATCTGAAGCCAACGATATCAGCGAAAAGGAGGCAAAGAAGACCATCGCTTGTGAACACGTTGAGAGGGCTCTGCGCGATCTTGGGTTTGGTGATTACATTCCGGATGTTCTGGCTGTTGCGGAGGAGCACAAGGAACAGTTGAAGGTACGCGTGGATCTGTCTATACGCGAGGACTTGTTACTGACGTGCGATGTAGTCACGAGAAAAGAAGCAGAGCAAGATGGAACAGAGCGGTTTGTCCGAAGAGGAACTTCTACGACAGCAGCAGGAGCTGTTTCGGTCTGCGACGGAAAAGTACAACGCCGCTCCGGAATAAGCACTCGAATTTTGGTCGCTGGGCATATATATTTGGATTTGGAGTTTGTCTTTTGGTTTGGAGTTAATGGTTCTTGGCTTTGACCGCGATTGGAAAATGGGATATAGCGGGTTTTTCTTATTGTCCTAATATCGCATTCTATGGCATTCCGCATAACATGATATCTCTTATCGAGCTTCGTGGATCTTCAATTGTGTTCACTGGTCATTGTTCGATCAGCAGGGCACAAGACCCTGTATACCATATCATGAAGACCATTCCTATCTTATCCAGAAAAAAAAAAAAAAAAGCCAACTCTTGCCGGTGCGTCGTTACAAACCAACCGTCTCGGAAGACTGCATCGTGCTGAAACGGCCTGTACATGATTGTCCAGAACCGGTTTGGCTTGCCAATAAAATATTAAGAGATCTTGCGATCGTACTTTGGTCCTGCATATAAACGGTGATACCTTGATTTGAAGAATGCCATACTATTAGGAAGTTCGTGGGTCAATCTGTCAACCAATACCGTCCGCTGGAATTTACTCGGTCATTTTCGGGCTTTGAAAGAATGACAGTCCTATGCAGCCATGCTGTGGTCAGTCATTTCAATGATTCAGGGGCTTACTACCTTATGCAAGGATCCCTCCGCGGTGCCTCCATAGCACCAGGCACTCCGGTTAATGAATCGTTTGATTGAGCAGTCCCTGAGGGTTCAGGCGTCCGGTGGAATGCCGAAGCCTCTCTTTGCCGGGGCTTGCTCTATGACAAATTGGTTTTCCGCTTTGGGAATGGTAGAAATGGCAAAGACTTCATTTGTTGAGTGCTTATTTTTTGTGTAATTTTTTTCTTTATTGTTCATTACTGTCTCCAGTACATTTCCTCGATTGAAACATGGCCATCAACATTCCCACGGTTAACATCCTTCCCCGGCTCCCGCGCTGGGTGAACCACTGGTTTGGCTACCGGCCGACACCCCCCAAACCATTGCCGCAGTATATGGTCTGGATATGGTCGTTTTTCGCAGCGTTTTGCGGTTTATGTGTGTTGCAAGCGATATTCAATTACTCATCGTATTTTGAGCGTCGCCATGTCCCAGGCATTGTCGCGTCATTCGTAAGTTCATTTTCTCATTTTTCATTTTATTTTCATGGCAGCCGTTACATGGTCCGTTCACAGCCAAGCAACGATTATGCTTTGGCATCTACAACATCAACTGTCAACTATCAAATACAAAAAACTAACAAGAACAGGGCGCCTCCGCCGTCCTCTGCTACGGCGCAATCGACGCCCCCTTAGCCCAACCCCGTGCCCTAATCTTCGGCCACTTCCTATCCGCCCTCGTCGGCATCTGTATAACAAAGCTCTTCAGCCTAATGCCCGATGAAGAACGCTTCAACTCGCTCCGCTGGCTGGCAGCATCGCTCTCCTCAGCAGTCGCCATCGTAGTCATGCAGATCACCCAGACCACGCATCCGCCGGCGGGAGCAACAGCTCTCCTGCCTGCAGTCGATGACGCGATTTGGGAGCTTTCGTGGTATTTCTTGCCTGTGGTGTTGTTGTCGTCGGTGATTATTATGGTTGTTGCAATGTTGTTGAATAATATTCAGAGGAGGTATCCGACTTTTTGGATTGCGCCTAGTCCGCCGCCGAAGCCTGCGCCTGCACCTGTTACTGCGCCGGAGCATCAGAAGGTGCATGCTGAGGAAGAACTGGGGTGTGTTCTCTTCTTTTTACTTTGATTTGAGCTTAAGCTAACTTGGTTTAGTGGAGATACGCTTCTTCCTCGGTGATTCATCAGCTTACCAGAGTCCAACAGGCTCTATTTTTTTTTTTTTTTGCTTCCATCTTTGAGCGAGCATTCGGCATAACTAGGCTGGCCCTTCAACTGGTATTGTACAGTACCATTCCAACGCATACGCATGGGTTATGACCCGCACAAAGATGATCAGTCATTTGCATTCCCTTCTATACATATTTACACGTGTAATTAATCATAATTGTCTAATAGAATGTGTCGGACGTTCGACAATCAAAGTTCCACCTGTCCAAGCTGTTGGCGAGATGTGTATTGATATGCATACAACTGTTATAGAGCGACAACAATGAATAACAATGAATGCACCATCCTGTGTCTGTACATCAATAGCGCCATTCACAACACGAAACCTTCTATTCTCACTGAGAATTACCTTGTTTATAGTTTTGACCCAGGTGTAAATCACGTGACAAAAGACATACCAAGAGAAACAAACGAATACCGCAGATCAAAGTGTATAATATAGACAAAATACCATCTGTTCAAACAATTAGAGCCAGCAATTATCACTGTGCTAAAAAGGGCATATCTTCATAACCGCAAGACGCGCTAAACCCAACACGGCAGCGGCCAACCTACGCGCAAAGCGGAGAGCTTCCACTGCGACTGATCTCCCACGCCAACCAGAGCACGGTATACAATATGCCGCCGTTTAAAGATGAGCATGTCTTAGTATGCCTCCCTCCCTTCTAACCTCCCAGTCTTGAAAAATGTCATGCTAACGGGCGCAGCTCATCGCGCCAGGTTCTCAGGTGACCCTGGCGCAACTAGGCCTGCCCGAGTCTTTCACGCCCGCTCGCTTTCGCTTCCCGACGCGCATGTTCCCAGCTGAGAAACAGGGTGAATATGAGCCGTACCGGATCCGCGAAAAGAGGCAGGTTATTGTCAGGAATACTGGTGGGAATGGGGCGCCGGCGCCGGTGCCAAAGGTGGATGTGGATATGAAGGACGCGGAGGCTGCACCGGAGACAAAAACGGAGAATACAGAGGGAGCGGAGAAAGAGAAGACTGAGGGACAAGAGGGCCAAGAGGCTAAGCAGGAGACTGCAGAGGAAATTGTTTACGAAGAGGACGTCACGTCTGACGAGGGAGCGGTTTATCCCATGCAAAACGGGCGGATTGTCGACTGGCCGTGCTTTTTCGCCCTTCTTACGCATATCCATAATACGCTTAGTCCGCCTTTCCACACGCCGATTATGATTATTTCGGAGCCGGCTTGGACCGCTCGGGATCGAGAGGCGATTACGCAGTTTGTGTTTGAGAAGTTCAAGACGCCTGCGTTTTCGCTGATGGACTCCGCGCTGGCTGTTTGCTACGGATACGGGACTCAGACGGCTACTGTGGTTGATGTCGGGAAGGACAAGGTTAATGTCACGGCCGTGACGGATTTCCTGGTCAATGAGCATGGACGGGGTATTGCGCTTGAGGGGTGTGGTGGTGATTATATGACGGACCGGATCGAGGAGCTCCTAGGTTCGAAGGGATTTACCAGGGAAATGTGCGAACAGCTGAAGAGAAGCAATATTACGGAGATTCTACCACCCGGAACCCCGCTACCTGGTGCCGCTGCCACCGCACGGCAAGGAGCCAACCCGGCTGCATCAGCGTCTACCGGCGCACCAGAAGGAGGCGCGCCGAATGAGAACGTTCCCCGCGGCCCAGGCGATAGCACTCAGACTGGGGAGGAAGGCGCAGATGGCGAAAACGAGGGTGTGCTGGACGTGGCGGCTATTGTCAGCGGCAACACCAGCGAGTACCTAGCCAGCATCGAGAAGGAAAAGGGCACTACGAAGAAGGGCACTGCTGCTGAACAAGCCGCCAAAGCACTCCGTCTTCCGAACTCGAAGAAGGAAAAGGCTTCCTTCCAGTTTGAGGAATTAATACCGATTCAATCAGAGGAGAACAGCAACGCATCCAGCCGGTATATCCGCCAGCAGCGTGATATCGAAGTTGGTGTGGAGCGCTTCCTTTCTGCTACCCCGAAGCAGAAGGTTGGCGAGCGTTTCTCTAGTGGTATTCTTGTGGATATTGCTACGCAAATCCACCACACTATCCTTTCAGTTCCTGATGCTTCGAAGCGCAGCGAGCTTTGGGATTCTTTGATTGTGGTTGGTAACGGAAGTAAGATAAAAGGTTGGTGTCCTACGCTTTCACTAGATTATTAGTTGCTAATGAACTAGGCTTCACACAATCTCTGCTCGGAACCATCACGCAAAAGTTCATCCTCTCACCCTCTGCCAGCATGTTCTCGTCTGAGATTCCCTCAAGCTTCGCCACTCCCCTTCCAACCGGAGGTTCTACAACCCCGGCACCCGGATACCCTCTCGCAGGCCAAGGCGTCAACCCCCTCCTCGTTGCAGCAACTCACTCCGGAAACCCCGGCATGTCCCATATGGGCACACCCTCCGCCGACCCATCTCTCCTCTACCGCCCTACCGGCCACTCCCAAACCCCCACCTCCGTCAAAACCGTCAAGCACCCCGAGTACTTCTCCGAATGGAAAGAACAGGCCAATTCCAACGCCCCCGGCGCCAGCGCAGGTGGCGGCGGTGGAAATGGCAATGGCAACGCCCCTGGCCCTGGTGCTCCGGGTCAACCCAGCACGGGTCACGGGATGGAAGAAGCAGTGTTCTTGGGTGCGCAGGTGGCTTCAAAGGTCATTTTCATTCTCGACCAGGGTCTTAGTAAGGGATTTATGAGCCGGGTTGATTATAATGAGAATGGACCGTCGGCGATCCATGAGTATATTCTGTGATTGGGATAGATGAGCATTTATGACTGGTTTTTGTTTTTTTTTGCTACGGGATGGGATAGGAAAGCCTTTCTTTTCTTTTATATTTCATGTAGTTTACATAGTGTACGGAGTATTTCATATCGTCTCTTTAAAAAGCATTCAAATTTAGATAAATATTTTCTTTCACTATTCCGTAGTCAATCAAATGTAAGCCAAAATGGGAAACCCTTATCACACGTGATCTTACATAAACTATCAGCCACTGTATCTCCGCCTCCGCGCCACACCATCTTCTCTCATCTCACTTCTCCATAAAACAGCATCGCATCCTTATCCTCTTAAAAAGACACAACCCGTTGATCAGATAACGAAGATGCCGCGCGCAGAAGCAGGAAGCAACAAGGCCATCAGCAATGGCATGAAAGCGGTACGTTCTATCTTTCGATCCCGAGCATCTTGCGACACGATCACGATGCTAACAAACAACAGAAAGGTCTAGGCCGATTGCGCTGGTATTGCCAAGCATGCGAGAAGCAGATGCGCGATGAGAATGGATTTAAATGGTGAGTTCCTGCTCTCCCCTGTCCTTTTGTTGTCAAGATTTTATGTTTGGGGGAGAGGATTGTGCTAACGGTGTGAAAACAGCCACGTCCAAAGCGAAAGCCACGTTCGACAAGTGCTGTTGATCGGCGAGGATCCGAAGAAATATATCGAAGACTACAGCAAGGAGTTTGTTCAGAATTTTGTGAATATGTTGCGCACGACGCATGGCGAGAAGAAGGTGCAGGTCAATCAGTTCTATCAGCAGGTTATTCAGGATAAACATGTGAGTTCTTTTCCCGCCTGTAGGGTTATAAACGTTGGTGATGGTTATGCTGACGGTATTGGATAGCACATTCACATGAACGCAACGAAATGGAAGAGTCTAACGCAATTCGCTGCACACCTGGGCCGAGAAGGAATCTGCCGCGTCGAGGAAACGGAAAAGGGATTATTCGTGTCGTGGATCGACAATAGCCCCGAGACAATGAAGCGACGCGAAACCATCATGCGAAAAGAGCGACAGGATAAAGGCGATGAAGAACGGGAGCAGAGGCAAATCCAGGAGCAGATCGAGCGGGCGCAAAAAAATGCAGACAAGGAAGATGAGTTGGACCCCGAGGCGAAGTTGCTGCAGCGGAAGGAGGGTGAGAAGGTCAAGTTGAACATCGGGTTCGGCGCAAAGCCTGAGTCTGAGAAACAATCGTCTCCTGAACAGAAAGATAAATCAACAACACCGGAAGCTGCCACCGCTCCGGCTGCAGAAGCGCATGCGCCATCTGCCGAAGCCGCACCAGCACCAGCACCGAAGATTTCGATGTCCCTTGGTGGTGGAAATAAACCGAAGAATGTGTTTGCGGCGGCTGCGAAGAAGAACCCGCTTGCCGGGAAGAAGGGACCGGTTATGGAGGCCCCGAAGAAGATGACAGAGCAGGAGAGGATTATGAAGGCTGAGATGGAGACTATGGAGCGGAAGCGGTCTCGTGGGCCGTCTGGATTCCCTAATGCTAAGCGGCCTAAGGTTTCATGAGTACTTAACGATGATCTCTCGTGTACTGTCGCGCCGCGACCCCCATCCTTTGGACTATGATGTCTCCACGCCCCGCAAGACAGATCTCTAAACGTCCTATCACCGACCTGGGTCCAGTCACGTCAACAACATCCACTGGCATTTCCCTTGCGATTGGATATGCAAGGCTGCAAAATTTGGATCTATTCTGGATATTGGCGCTCAGAAAGAACACTGAAACCGGGCAGGACCCTGCATTGATCTATAATCGGATGATCGAGTGGTCAGAATATACCCTGTATATAGTCACGAAGCGCTATACGTCCCAGGCTGTTTAATTTATCGCAGACTGCGATCATAATATTTTACTGGTTATCGGGATAAGCTCAACGGCATATTGTATGTGGCCCACTTAGGGTTTGGCCTGGAGATTTAGGCATGGACTGAAATATAACTAACTAGGGTTGATATGACTATATTGATATCATAGAACTGATTAGCAATTGAGCAATGAGGATGGTATTCCCTTATTTCAATTGTTTGGAGCGAATATTCCTGGTCTGTTGTATACCTCCACACTCCGGGCCGTTCTATATCATTCAAATATGCTGCTCACTGCATATACCAGTGAAGTCGTGAATGTAAAGCCTTTAACCAGTGATACAAATTTCTCACACCAAACCGACAAAATCAGCATGGCCAGCCTGAGCATACTGTAGCGAATACCACTCGCTAATCCCAAAAAGGCTAGTGTATTAGATAAGCACCTGGACTTCATTGCCGAATCCATGGCACGTCTCCCATTCCATTCGATCTGTAGTTCTACAATGTCGGATGTAGAGGATTCACAGTTCCTGGAAGAACAAAGACATGGTAATAGCGGTGGATATGCACCTGAAGAACATCCGCCCAAGCGGCAGAAGCGGGGGAGATATGTTTCCAAGGCATGGTGTGTTCTGTTTTGCGTTAAGACGAGTATAGATGCTGAGTGAGATTTAGTGATGAGTGTCAGAAGAGAAAGATCAAGGTATGATATCTGGCGTGACTGGCTGCATGATGTCAGATGTTAATAGTATCTAGTGTGATGGAAGACTGCCATGTCGGGCATGTAGGATGAAAGGCAGAGAGTGCCATCGGGAAGCTACTGATATGCGTCGACGTGGACTGACAGTCCCGGATGAGGTGTTGGAGAAATCTCACTCCTCAGGTGATCAAGATAGAGACCAGTGTGTCCCAGGCGCTTCAAATGTACATCTGATAGTACTAACGTATACAGTCCCACAACAAAAGAGCTGGCATCCCGGCTGGACCGAATTGAGTACCAGCTAAGCTTGCTCGTGTCATCTATCTCCCGTGGGCTTGGTGGATCGAACGGTTCTGCTTCTGAAGTAGTGAGTTCACAAGACCATCGTCTAAACCATGCACGCTCGCTTGGTTCCTCAAGCATTAAGAGTCCACCGAAGAGCTCGGTGCCGATGTTCTCTGGTGAGACTTCCATCGCGCACACGCTGGATCAGGTCGAAGACCATTTGGCACATATTCGAGGCATAGATGGAAATCGACATTCTGCTACAACGTCTCAGGCTGCGAAGACATCTTTGCCTCCGTCGCCAGTTCCGCATCGGGAAGATGGCGATGAAAATCATGAGCAAGTTTACATCAGGCAGGTCTTGAACAACTTTGACATTGAGCCGGAGAGACGCTGCTGGGATGAGTTTCTGGATACGTTTTGTGAAGAAGTTCACATTCTCTATCCAATGCTCCACATACCAACTTTGAGGCAGAGTTATATCGACATGTGGAATCGACACCTCCTTTCTCCGGAGTGTGAACTTGGTCGCGATGATTCTCGCTTTACCGTTGCCCAGGTTTGGATTTGTCTCGCGATTGGGAGATGTACTCAGTCAGCACGAATCCACGGTGAGGATGGCCGGCACTCCGCTGGCTGGAGTCTCTACGATGCTGCAATGCATTTGATTGGAGATTTGCTCAGCAGTCCTCGAGAGTGTTCAAGTCCGAATTTGATTTTGCAGACATTGGTCTTGATAGTATGTACTACTAATCATGTTTTTGAGCCTTGCTAATAGACTCAGGTTATCTATCTTTTCCGCTTGGACGCGAACGAAAGCGCAGAAAAGGTGCTAGCCCTCGCCATTACGCATTCACATAATCTTGGTATCCATCGATGCAAAGTTGTCGAGGGGATATCTGCTTTTAATAGCGAAATAATTCGACGCATTTGGTGGTGCATTTATCTCATGGATCGACGATTGGCTATTGATACAGGCCATCCGTTTCTGATTCAAGACGTGAACGTTGACACTCCACTACCCCGAGAGCTTAGTGATGATTGGCTCACGAGATATCGAGATGAACCAAAGACGAACCGTGAAATTGAGCCTGAAGTCCAGGAAGAAGTAGCTAGAGTTCCCTTGACAGCGGTATCATATCTCAATGCCATGATAAGCTACTCGCGCTTGGTTGGTAGAGTTTGGGAAGGAATGTACAGCGTTGGCAGGACCGAGACGGCTCCGAGCCCTCTTCTACGCGAGTCTTTAGAGCAGCACATCGTCAGAGCCCAGAAGGAAATACAGCCTGAATTCCTTCAAAACTATAACCAACCGTTGAACTGGCAATTGAGCAAAGTCCCATGGTGGCGTACTAAGCAAAGGATGTTGATGCATATTGTACGTGCCAATTCAAAAATTCCAGATATAATCTTGCTGACAAGACAGCGCTGGTACTCCATACAGCTCCTTATCCGCAAACCAATGCTCCAGCGAGCAATATCCCCATCGAGTACCATCCGAGACAGTCCCGAAAACGAAGTTACCTGCATGCACATTGCCCAAAACATGATCCAGGGGCTAGCCAAGTTTCCAAAAGAGCGTATTCGCTCTACCTTTACTTTCCTTCATTACTTTATCTTTGCTACTATGATCTCCTTGGGGTTGATTATCAAGGAAGCTTCATTCAAAGCTGCCTATGGCAATGCGACACTACAAGCGGCTAGGGTATTGAGAACGTATTGTCGCCAGACGTGGATTTCTGGGAGAATGGCACGGTCGATTTATAGATTGAGCCAGATGGCTACGCGCGTGCTCGGCGATGGTTCTAGTCGACCATCCTCTCGTGAAGTTGGCGAGGCCCGGAAGCCTGCGTTGACAAACCGTGCGTCGAAGCAGCCGTTTTCTGCCCCTGAAGTGAATCTCCAACAGAACACATCCTTTCTTCTTGAAAATGCCTTTGATAACCGACAGATTTCACAAACCAATCAGAATACTCATGATTCACCAATTGGATTTCCGAACAATTTCGTCGGCTACTACCCAATGAATCCCGGATTACACGGCCTCGGCTCCTTTGAGGATACCTGGAACCCCGAACTTACAAATATCGTAATGGGCGATTTTGATTTTGAAGAGACCACAGCAAGTAATTTTGGTCCAACATTTTCGTCCAATGTATACGGGATTAACCCGGCATGGACTCAAACGACGACTTTCGCAGCCCCTGATGCAAGACCTGTTAGTGGACAAAACGCCATTGAACCCGATGCATCAATGGGGGTGTCTCAAAATGTACAGGCTACGGACGAGTCAGGGGTGGAGATAAACTGGCTACAGTCTTTATTCTGGGATTCTATTGGGCCAAATTCATAGTTACTGGAAACAACCCGGGAGACCGCAGCTTTTTGAGGAGTGATTGTATATACCCAACAATAACAACGAATTGACTGCCGATACCATCTTTAAGCCCCTAGCAGCCTAATCTTGTGACATACCATGCCCTCAACAACATTGATATTTATCGTGGCAGTATCGTCTGATATGAACACCCAGAATCTTCATGGCCTCTGGTTGATGGTAAGTGCACGCACATATTACATAGTGTGTTTGCTTGCGTGTCAAAGTAGCTGATTTGAGACGAGAGCACTAGGATAAAGATATTTCAGGTGATCCGAGCGCGATACTGAAGTTGGTAAGGATACATAGTTTTTCATCGCTACAGCCTATGGATTTGAAATCAGATATCTCTGTTCAATACTGTCAACTGAGGCTAAAGAAATCAACTAACCGAATCTCCTCTCATTCTAGCAATTCATAAGTTCTTTCCCGAAAAGCTATCGCAACCGCAAACCTAACAGGAGACATCTCCGGCTCAACATAAAATCGAGCCCTGGACTGGACCAAGAGACACCACAGCAATTCTATCTTCGGTAAATGTATTGGCCACAACAGGCTGGTCGATGGCATCCAAGATGTGGATGGGATGCTGCGGCGGGATTTACACTTGCAATCGGAGATAAAAGGGGAATCTGATGCTGATAGAGAGCGTGTGGTTAGGTTCTTGAGGAGCGGGGTTGGAACGATGCCAAAGGATACTAGTGGCGATAGGGAAGAGAAGTTATATATGCATGAATTTGTGTGGAATGAGAATAGGATGCACTGCTGAGCAGGTGAGAACTCCCACATGTTTCTTTCTTGATCACTGCAAAGCTTATCGCTACGTTGCTAACTCATGAACGCATCGAATAGGTCTAGGGCTTTGAAGTCGTCAATGGAAATTGGTCTGACCCGTCGCGCTGTGGTGGCTAAAGAAAAGACATGAGATGGCTTGTCTCGTTCATGGACATATTGTTTAAGCTCGGAGCTACGAAAGTCAAGGCGCCGTAGCTTTCTAGTTAATCCCAGATTGTTTTGAACGTGGCGTCCCCGGGTAGGAGATCACCATACGAGGTGTTAAGTGTCACACCTACAGCTTCTTTCTGGGTCGAGTAGATATATTCGATCTCTTCGAGGGTGCCGTTTACATCTCGCCAATCTGGAAGGGCAGCAAAGAAGTCCAGGCGCAGTGGATGCTTGTTTACTAGGTCGGCAAAGTATTCATTTGTTTCTCTACAGAGATCACGGGCCTGCTGACCGGTGCCAGCAATTGGGATTCCCGGTGTTGAGACCGAGAGCACTGCTCGAGCAGATCCAGTCAAATACAGACTCCGCAACGTGCCTTCTTCCGACCAATCTGGAGTGGGAAAGCCAGATGGGTCACCGCCAGCCTCCGCAACAGCATTCTTGTAACCTGGTGGAAGGGCGTTAATATGGGTATCAATCAGATACCAAGCATTGCTGTCTTTGAGGAGGGAGTCCTTATCCCCGGAAACCGCCGAAGCCACTAGGGCTACTGTAAGGGCTAAGAGAACCGACGAAGACAAGGGGTTTTTTATGGTAAGGGATAGCGCAACGATGTAGATGTCATTTTGTGAAAACAGCAACAGTCTGCTGTTTTTATAAGACGTGAGACCGGATCAACCGGTGCATGCTGAGGCGTAGGCTTACCGGTATACTTATAAGGCCCATTGGAATGGACGCAAGCATGGATTCAGTACTACCATGCCCCTGTAGATCTGTAGATCTGACAAGGATTGGTATAATTCATATAAGATGACATCATTTCGTCAGCCCAACTTTGTAGTCTGCGATGTCTGACCTGTTCAGCTCAACATGATACCCCAATATTTCACCAAAGCCCGCTCAATATATGCACAGTACAACATCACAAATGCGCAGATCAATGTTCTCAAAGCTTGCTTGGTAGATGAAACTTTCGCTACCAAGGAAGCCGTGAAACAGCTAACTGCACACCCTGAAGAATCCTCGACGCCTTCTGAGCAGCACCAGCGGCTTGCCGGCTTCTAGACCATTCTTAACTACACCACTGTGAATATACCACCCCCCACAACCCACGGTTATCACAATCTTACGGACAATCCGGATCTTCTCTAAATGGATGAACCCAAGGCGAGGACGAGGATGCTTTCAACTTCGACGACGGATTTATCTGGCGCGATCTTACAGACTGAGTAAATGACTGAACAGACAACTCTAATAACCACGCTTCGGATTACTTCCTTGAAGTATTTAGAAGCGGTGAACAGAGAGCCGCTCACAGAGAAGCCTGGATTAGCGCAAATGCCTACACAGCCCGCCTCGCCGCGACAGGTGACAACCCGCTATCATCGTATGAGGTAGCGCTTGGCCGAGATAGTACAGCTCTTGTGTATGCATTGGAATTTGAACATGATCTTAAGAACGAGCATGAGAGGGATGTTGTGAATATGCAGGTGGAATGTGCTGCGCAGCTGTACACTTACGCGGCGGGTGGATTATATCAGCGCTGCACGGATGGGTATCCCGGGCCTCTTAGGCCGATAAATATGAGGGATTCCAAAGTGAGAGCGCTCTGGCATGATAGCAATGAAGATGAAGGATATTCAGAGAAACGGTGGAGATTCTGGAAGGAGAGATGGGGTGTTATATCAACAGGAGGTAGGACAGGGTTTGTCCGAGAAAGCTCACGCAGCGGCGAAAAAGGCGCTGCAGGTCATGGTGGGAGTTGAGAGCCGAGTGTATGCAAAGGTCACTGAATCATTAGAGCAAGATAACCTTCAGAGTCAGTGTTGTGACAACTCTTGTTCCGTGTAACTAATGTCTTAGTAGCAGGTTGAGCACCATAATATAACGACATAAGGCATTGCAGGGTACCACCATGAAAGACATGAACAAAGTATTTGTATGCATTGGCCACGCTAAATGGACACATCAATGAGCGACCTGAAAGGGTCACTGAGAGAAAATTGCCTTGGGTAACCAGCGAAAGCCTTTGTAAGACGAAACCACATCTGCATGTCGGTTAATTAGACTCATCACATAACATTGCCTTGTTAATAATCGGCTTTAGGACCTTCAAAGGCACAGGCTTCGTCAGGAACAGATCCATTCCTGATCCAATGGCGTCACGCTCGGTTTCCGCTTGACCAAGGCCAGTAAGGGCAACTATCATCACTGGTTTCGTCTTGCTAAAACGTCTCTCATGATCTCGAATGTGACGCGTTGAATCAAGCCCGTCCATAACAGGCATGGAGATATCTGCATAACCGATAGTAAGCACTTGCTTTAGAATAGAGCAAAATCACGGATATACTGACCCATCAGGACTAGGCTGAATAGGGATGGATTTTCTTTAAAAGCTTCAAAAGCCTCTAATCCATTCCGTGAAATGATGTGATTACACCCTAGCTTTTTGACACATGCAACCAGGATTCGAACGTTGATGTCATTATCGTCCACAATGAGAACAGTTGATGTTGGGTTGTCAGGGACTTGGACTGCCCTATCCGAGTTCTTGTAATGGCCATCGATATGCTGGTCAGAAGGCTGTTCCTGGATCCGAGGAATGGAAGGAGCTAAAGCTTTTGGTGTATTTGCTTCAGATGGGATAGGGAACGAGCTGTCATTCCCATCTGCCACGCCTTGTTCTGCTTGTTTGAAGATTGACCATATATTGCTACTGTAGGCTAGCTGGGCTGTATTTCTGATATTGGTGGAATCATCTCGATTGTGCTGACGTTTGATGCATGAATGCAATGTCTTGGCCATCTTTCGAGGTCCACATGGCTGACTGATGAACTCGACCACGTCTGCAAGTTCCTTCTCTTGGGTGTTCCACCACAACGTGTTCGCGATTTGTGGAGACGAACAGAGAATAATGACAGGGGAGGTCATGCATTTAGTTGGGTTAGTGTTTTGGAAGACTTCTAAACCCAGATCATCTCGAGTGGCGATATAAAAGTCGCATTGGTCAACAATGCCCATGGATAGGTCAATTTCGCGAACGGTCATACCAAACCAATCGCGGTAGAGCCTCTCTAAGGCTAGGGACAGAGCACCATCTGTACCCAAAGGACTGGATCCTACAATGCCAATCGATTTACCCGATGTGTGTTCCCTTGCAGACTTGATGACCGAGTTTGCATCAAGCATATCAGGGGGCGCAAAGTCTGGAGAGTGCTGTAGAGTCACATTTGTGACAATCTCCGTGCCGAGCCCCACCTGGGAGAACACCTGAAGTAGTAGTAGTAGTAGTTGCTATTTAACGTCGGAGGTGGGACGTGCGTCAAATCACGTGCCCACAGAGATCCCGGAACGGAATATACGACGGGCGAAGCGGGCTCGCCTATCTAGTAGCTAAACTAATTCTATCATACATGCTGGCAGAAGCTCCCAGATAGGA